TTTTGCTGCTCCACACCCCCCCCCACCTTCCCAGGCTTTCGGGGGGGAGCAGGCGAGGGGCGGTGGCAGTGGCTGAGCTCTATCTACCACCCACCCTTCCTAGGGCCCGTTGTCTTCATCCACAACGGGTTTTGCTCCCTAGTTTATTATATTTTAGTAACTAGCAGTTATTTATAGGGGACGTTTTGGTTCATTTCCTCATCTCATCCCTGAACACGCTTCTGAAAGAAACACATTCCCTTGTGCAATCAATACTAAATCAATCTTGAAGGATAAGAACTTACTGTTAATCTTATAGCTAAAGCAGTGGAATTTCCCTGGTTGGTTGACTGCTCACACCACCACCACCCCGCCATCAGACTTGTTAAGGCATGGAAAACAATACCCCGGGGGGGTCTACGTGCTGTAGAAAGATTGTGGAACATCTGCGGAAGAGGCCTTCAATGGGCCCCTCCTCAAGAGCACCACAAGATGAAAGACCATTTTCACACTCCGGTCCATGCCAGGAAAGCTTAAAGGGGAGTGACAGGAGCACACCAGAAAAGTCACGCAGCATCACACACCCAGAAGCAAGCAGGGATCTCTGAAGAGAGCTCCCGTGGCTTCCGGATGGAACTGATGGGCCACGCATTGCTGACTGGTGCAGATGCACAACCTGGGCAGCCCTTACCCACAGCCCTGCATGACAATGATTAAGAAGCGACTGTGTACTAGTGTCCATCTCTTACCTAACTCATGTGGTAACTCATGACAAAATACTGCAACGGACGTACTTAAGCCACTTGATAAGCCTTCAGTGAAAGCAGCACCTGGGTGAAGAAAAAGAACACATCCTGGAGACGTCATCTCACTTGAGAAATGCAACTGAACACTTCCATAAAAATCAAAGGGCTGGCAAAACCATGGACAAGGAGTATAAATTCTGGTCACCATATTGCAAGGAGGACATGCATACAAATTCATACAGCTTATAGTAAGTGATTTGAAATACAGATATACGTAAGAGAATAAAAGACATTCAATTCTTAGGGTGGTCTGTGTTTAGACATGGTGGAAGGCCCCCTAACTGCAGGAATGGCAGCTGGTAACTGGGAGGAAGGGAGCTCTTACATAAGCCACATGAAGCCAGGTTAAAAGAGTACACCAATTTATCTCAGAACTTTCCCCACATGTTCCCCCCCAAGAGCACTACGGTCGGGGGCCCAAAATCTGTTGGTCATCCCGGACCCCAAGGACACCAAACTAGCTGCGACCAGGGCCAGGGCTTTTTCGGTGGCGGCTCCTACCTGGTGGAATGAGCTCCCGGGGGAGATCCGGGCCCTGCGGGACCTCATGCAGTTCCGCAGGGCCTGCAAGACGGAAGCTCTTCCGCCAGGCCTTTGAGTAGGAGCCGCCGCCCCTACTATACCACCACCGTCATGGTATCTTAAAGGATGTATCGACGAAGCCCTGAGGAAGAACCTGGAAAACGTAAAGAAGATCCGATAAGCCGTCGCCATTGGGCACAAATACCATGGGAGTACCACCTGGAACTATGTTGATTCCATCTTGGATTTATGATATCTGTAATTGATTGAGCACTGTTGTTTTTAAGTGTTGGATGTTCTTATTATGTTTTATATGTTTTAATTATGGCACGGCTAATGACCTTGCCCTTGTTAGCCGCCCTGAGCCCATTGGGGAGGGTGGGATATAAATGTGAAAAACAAACAAACAAAAATAACAAACAAGTGTTTAGCATTGATAACAGTTCACTCCCACTCAAATCCAGGGGCCTCACTGTCTGTAAACGCGTTTAGGGTTAGATGTACGTGTGTAAAGCGTCATCAAGTTGCAGCTGACTTATGGAGACGCCATTCGCTTTACAACGCATGAGGTGTTCAGAGGTGGCTTCCTCTGTGTAGCCACCCGGGAAGCCACAACACCTCCTAGAACTAACACCAAAAAAAGATGTCCTCCTCATCATAGGGAACGGGAATGCTAAAGTAGGAAGTCAAAAGGTAATTGGAATAACAGACAAGTTTGGCCTTGGAGAACAAAGTGAAGCAGGGCAAAGGCTAACAGAGAGAACACGCTGGTCATAGTTACTTTTTTTCCCACCATAAAAACAATAGAGGGGATGGGGGCAACCTGTTTTGGGGCCCGTAGAATTGGACCCCCTGGTCCAATGTTCTTGAAACTTGGTGGGTATCTTGGGGAGAGGCTCCAGCAGCTACCGTGCAACTTTGGAGCCTCTCCCTCAAACCCCCTGCCCTCCAGCCCCCAGAATATACCCTATGTTTTCACCAATGACTTCATAATGGTGCCGAATTGCAGCCGAAATTCGGCGGCAAGCCAATTCAGATCAGAGAATCTGAATTGGCCCGCAGCCACCCGAAAGGGGTCCGAATGGGCTATTTTCAGGGGTGCATTTGGTTCAGAAAAACCAAATGCATATCCCTAATAACTAACAAAGGTAGCGGAGGTGATGGTATCCCAGCTGAGCTATTCAAAGTCTTAAAAGATGATGCTGTTAAAGTGCTGCACTCAATTTGCCAGCAAATTTGGAAAACACAACAGTGGCCACAGGATTGGAAAAGGTCAGTTCACATTCCAATCCCAAAGCAGGGGAATGCCAAGGAATGTTCAAACTATCGCACAATTGCACTCATTTCACACGCTAGCAAGGTCATGCTCAAGATCCTACAAGCTAGGCTTCAGCAGTACGTGGATAGAGAACTGCCAGAAGTACAAGCTGGGTTTCGAAGAGGTAGAGGAACTACAGATCAAATTGCCAACATTCACTGGATTATGGAGAAAGCAAGGGAGTACCAGAAAAACTTCTGCTTCATTGACTACGCTAAAGCCTTTGATTGTGTGGATCATAACAAACTATAGCAGGTCCTTAAAGAGATGGGAGTACCAGACCTCCTCACATGTCTCTTGAGAAACCTGTATAAGGGTCAAGAAGCGACAGTTACAACCGGATATGGAACAACTGATTGGTTTAGCATAGGAAAAGAAGTACGACAAGGATGTATATGGTCACCTTGATTATTTAATTTATATGCAGAGTACATCATGTGAAATGCCTGCCTGGATGAATCACATGCCAGAATTAAGATTGCTGGGGAAAAGATCAACAACCTCAGATATGCAGACGATACCACTCCAATGGCAGAAAGTGAAGAGGACCTGAAGAGCTTCTTGCTGAACGTAAAAGAGGAGAGCACAAAAGCTGGCTTGAAACTCAACATCAAAAAAACTAAGATCATGGCATCCGGCCCCATCACTCCTTGGCATATAGAAGGGGAAGTCGTGGAAGCAGTGAGAGACTTCACATTCCTGGGATCCAAGATCCCCGCAGACTGTGACAGCAGCCATGAAATTAAAAGACGCCTGCTCCTTGGGAGGAAAGCGATTGCAAACCTAGACAGCATAATAAAAAGTAGAGACATCACCCTGCCAACCAAGGTCCGTATGGTCAAAGCAATGGTATTCCCAGTAGTAATGTATGGCTGCGAGAGTTGGACTATAAAAAAGGCCAAGCGCCGAATAATAGATCCTTTTGAATTTTGGTGCTGGAGAGTCCCTTGGACTGCAAGGAGATCAGATCAGTCAATCCTAAAAGAATTCAACCCTGACTGTTCCCTGGAAGGCCAGATACTGAAGCTGAAGCTCAAAGACTTTGGTCACCAAATGAGAAGGGAGCCCTCCCTGGAGAAGACCCTGATGCTGGGAAAGATTGAAGGTCAAAGAATAAGGGGACAGCAAAGGATGAGATGGTTAGACAGTATTATTGATGCAACGAACATGAAATTAAGCAAACTCCGGAGCACGACGGAAGACAGGAGGGCCTGGTGTGATGTGGTCCATGGGGCTGTGAAGAGTCAAACTCAACTGTGCGACTGAACAACAACATTTTTAGACAATACCAATAACAACCAACAATAACCAGGAACACAATTGTATACTCAAATATGTACAAAATAGCTTGGAATCCATCTACAATTTCTGCAGGTTCAAGAAGGGTGATGATTTTTGCTGAACCCCCTCCCCCCAAAAAACCCCCACTATTCCGCAGAACTCCTCATTAGCAGCATTTGGGGGGAATTCTGGACTGCTGTGTGTAGCAGAACTGGCAGAAATACCTTCCCCTTATGCCCTGGGAAATTTCTATGCTAGATCCAAGCCATAGTGATGCAAGGCCTCCTATGCCTAGAGAGGATCTCTATATGCCCGATCCGTCATTCTACCCTTGCAATATAGGCATGATGAGTGGGGACAGAGTACAGAAGCAAAACGAACCCACACACAGTTGGAGAAAAATTACAAAAGCCAGAAGCTGCAACTCACCAATGGCAAGACCATCACTGAAGTTGTGCAGTCCATCCCCCATAATTACCATCCAGGCTAGAGTGGCTATCCCAGCATCTTTAAGTTCCTCACGTGAATAGCGCTGACTGTGGCTGTGCGGGTGATGGTTCTGGTGGTGATGGTGATGCAAAATATGATGGTAGTCATGGTGATGATGGCTATCGGACTGCCCGAGGGTGTCATGCAAGTGGGAGTGGCATTTGTTTCGACATCCCCGGGAGGCATATTCATGGTCAGCAGCCTCTTGGTGGGAGTGAGCGATCATGACTTCTTCTTCTTCTTCTTCTTGCAATACTGGCTTCTGAGAAAGGAAATTGGATGCGTCTTGGCAATCTGCCCCCAAGTCGCCTTCAGGTCCTTGATAAAAGAAAAAAAAAGATTCTCCCCTTTTTTAACGGCAGAGAGGGACAGAGTCTTTTCCAGTTTACAGACGGCAACATTTTCAGCGTTTAAATACCCAGTTTCTAAAAAATGAAACCCTCATTTCTGACCCAGGTCTAGAGGTTTCTTGTTGTCGGCCCACGATCACACAGGCTCTCTCATGTCCAGGTTTACACTGAGAGCATCAGTGTGCTTCGGGCGATAGATGAATACACGTCTGGGGACTTGTGAGGAGAATTCCCTGGGAATCCCATCCTCTCCCCCAGAAGGGCCTTCCCTCCTGCATCAGCCCTACCTCCCCATGGCCATCGCCCGCTCTCTCCAGCCACTCCACTCGCTTCCACCCTGCCGGCCCCAGTTGCCGCTTGACTCCTGCCCTTAACCCAGCCCCCTCACCCTCCTTGCCTTTTCGGCCCACTGTCTGCTTGCTCCACTTCCTTCCTTCGCTCCTTCTGCCCCCCCCGCCCCACTTCTCTCTTGCTCTCCTCCCCCCCAACTCCCTTCCCTGCTTCCACATCCATTAACTTCTTGCCCGGTGCTAGGGAGAGGGGCCCCTTCTGGCACATGGCGGCCTTTGTAACCCAAACGGACAACGAAATATCTCATGAGATCTTCCTGCAAGATCTCAGTTACCAAAGTACTTAAGGTTTTTAATTTAATTTTTTTTACACATATCCCTTTTACTTTCAGATGGTTTTTGCATCCCTAGAGGTCCCCCCAGGTTTGCAGAAATCTCTACCATGGCCTTGGGTGGTCCCACTGCACACGTTTTTCAAGCCACAGATTAGGGCTATCATATGTATAGATCGCCTGGCCACCAACAGGCATTTCTGTAAGTATGTTGACTAGGAGGCCCATGTGACTGGAAGCAGTTTGCCCCTGTGGACTGCATCCATACACATACTGATTCACCCCTGGATGCCTTCATGTAATCCTTCGCACAGCAAGGGTTATGTAGAGGAAGCAAGTGGCTGACCCCATGTGAAGGAGCCCCAGGGCGCATCAGGACAGAGGAGAACGGCTTGTCCACAAGGCTGGTCTCCAAAGGCATCCTACTTGAAACTCATAATCTCACCACAAAAGCACAAAACTTTGCTCCTAACAAGAACACACCAACTCTTGAGGAAGTTAGGGTTAGGGTTAGGGTCTGAGAAGGAAGCAGCCCAACTATGTTCTCTTTTGGGCAAGAAGTTCAACACATTTATAAAAGAAATGATAGACGTGTAATGATTGCAATGCAGACTTTAAAGGAGGCAAAATAAAAGCTAAAAGTCTTTGAATTCTGCTATCAGGATAGGCAGCCTGGACAAGAGGCAGCAAAAAGGTCACGAGGAAGGTCTGATTCCAGAAAAAAATCCCTCCTGATGGCCCAAAGAGAGAGGACAAAGGCACGAAAACAAACATCATAAAAGAGAGAGAACATCCTGTTTGACATTGAGACTGTAGGAGCCCCTAGTGGTGATGTGAACAAAGTGGCCGGGGGGACTGTTCTGGAGGACCAAATATTCCCCCACTGTTGTATCCAGAAATGCAGCATGTTCCATCAGAAGCACCAGGGAGCACTTGTTGGGAAATGGCCTGGGCCCGACCGCCACCTCTCACAAAGCAATCCCTGCCACGCTGTCTTCCACGGTCAGTTTCACAGCCAGAACCAACCGAGTCAGGCTATATATTATTGCTGTAACGGCCATTTCCCTTTTTCGGTAGTGTGTGTATGTTCATGCGCACGCATATGCACTTGCAAGCCTGGAAGTCATGGTAACCTCTGGTGACCCCTAGTGGGGCTAGGACATTTCAGAGAGGTGGCTTTAATATTATCTGCCTCTGTGTCCTGGCCCTGGTATTCCTCGGAGGTCGGCCCCCTTCCAAGAACTTGCCAGGGTCGGCCCTGCTTAGCTTCTGAGGTCGGGCTTGCCTGGGCTATCCAGGCCAGGGGCTTATTTTCTTAAGTCAGGGAAGAGTTGCTGGAGTAATCAGCAAAGCTGGTTGGGAGCCAGATTTCCTCAACACAGTACAGTAGCACTGGAGGGAAAGGGTCTCCCCACCACCGACCACTTTTGCCAAGGGACAAGAGAACGGGACAGAGAAACAACTGCTTCTAACGTATCTTCTTATTAACGGCTCAGTTTTCAAATGGTGTAGTTGTGGGCTTGATGCTGCCTCCCTGGAAAGCCAGCAGGATAATGTGCATTCATATTATGCACAAAATCCTTTGCAGAGTGAAATGAGGGTGAAAGGCCGCCCCCCCCCCCCCGGTCTACATGCACAGCAGGAAAACGAATACTATGGGGAACAAACATTAATATATGTAAATGCAAGAACACTATACACTTTCTTTTTTATTCATTCTGCTTACAAATCCGTCTTCTATTTAGAAAGTCAACCGAGGCAACATTCAGTGCTACAATCTTTTTATTGCACAAGATTGCAAGCGTCCTAAAAATTTGGACATGCCTGAAAATGTGATCTTTAATGTAAATACGAAGCAAGCAGCAAACTGTATTCGATCAGGCACTATAAAAATGTACCCTGTGCAGAAAGCGAAACACTACTGCATTGGAAAACTGGGTTATTAATATCAAGATATATTAGAAGCAGCTCTAATAGTCAATTCCACGCACTGCTCATGCCTTAAGCAGCCGCTATGAACCACTCAAAACCATTCAATAACACTTTACTGCCTTTAAAGAAGAGCAAGTAATTTTCAATATGATCCTGAGAGACATCGCTTATTAGTATAAAACACAGTACAAACATATCCTGTACAGATGCGAAATGGTTCCTGGAAATCAAGATCTCATCCACATAGTCACATCTATCTGAATTTCCTTTGCAAGTAATACATTGCAGGAGGCCAGATTCACGCACTGTTGGGAAAAAACCTCTGAACTTGATTTCCAGAGCCCCTCAGCAGACAGTACGCTGGAGAATCAGTAGCAACCGCTGGGGCAGTTCATCATGCCAGGACAATTGAGTCACCTTTTAGCTGCATGCGTAGAAGACAGAAAGTGCCCAAGATACCTAAACAGTAAACCACAGGAGAAAAATTGTGGGAGATCTCCAACACTACTCTTACTCAGCAGAGGTCATGTCCGCCAGTTCCCCAGCATGCTTTCAGAATTGCTGTCTCCACTATTCAATAAAGTCTGAAAACGGAGAGAAAGCACAAGTTGCTCCTAGCGCCTGTAAAGTACCAGCAGTGCCTATACGTTTCTCAGCTGCATGTTCAGACTCAATGTGACCACAGAATAAAGACTAAACGGTTAATCTCTTATGGAAAACAGAGGCACCCGGGAGCAGCAATATGTCTTCCTAAGGCTGGAAATTGTACAAACTTTAAAACCGCAGAAATGAACAAAGGCAGAAAGTCAGTTTGCCCCCACTTTTTACTGCTTGCTGGTTTATACAAGATTCCCCCATGGTTCAAGCAACTGAGCCCTGCTCTATTACCAGCTCTTCACAATTCAATTACATCAACTAATTTGGTTTTTACTGACACTTTTGACACAATTGCTGCCCTAGTAAAACACCACCATGTAATCAGCATAACTTCCTGAATCGAAATGTAAAGGTTTCCCTTGCTCAAGAGCTAGTCAAATCCGACTCTAGGGGGTGGTGCTCATCTCCGTTTCCAAGCCAAAAGAGCCAGCGCTGTCTGTAGACGTTTCCGTGGTCATGTGGCTGGCATGACTAAATGCCCAAGCTTCCCACCGAACTGGTACCTATTTATCTACTTGCAATTTCTTGCTTTCAAACTGCTTGGCTGGCAGGAGCTGGGGCCAGAGACAGGAACTCACATCATCACATGGCACGAGGGTCTCGATCTGCAGCTCAGAGTCTTAACCTCTAAGCCACCGTGGCTCCTGATCTAAATCTACTTTGGTCTGATTCTCCAACCCTTCATTTCAATCCCAAAATGAGATTCCTTCAAGCTAATGGCACGTGCCCTCATGCCCCTATGTGTACTCGTAGCTCATAAGGGGCCAACTCAATGGCAGTGTCCCACAGACTAATGGCAGCTACAAAAACCACCCAGATTAGTGCACTTCTATCTATTGGTTCTTCCAACAGTATTAGAATCTATGAGCACTGATAATGTCACCATGAACGGTGAATACTTTGTCCCCACTGCTATTCAGATCCTGGCAATATGATGAACAAACCATTTATTAATCCAGATTTCAGCCACTGATATGTCATCATAATGGTTAGACAGAACCAATCAATACAGTCAGATTAGGAAAAAAGCAAGCTTTTTTGTAATGTTGTCCAGCACAGTATTTTTTGTTGATTTAATCAATCTGCACCACCTTTTCAATATATATTTTTAGACTGAACATAATTCTAGATAGTGCTAGGAATTTTGGAATGTAGGACTGGCACTTATTCTAGAAATCACAATGATTTATTCTAGAAATCAGCAATGATCTCACATTAATCCTCCAGTGCAATTGAATTATTTCATGTGGCACTGATAACTTCAAACATAAATAATGCTGACAATATCTTTGCAGGATGGGCTAAAAGAAAACAAATGCTAAAGGACTAATCAATATAATTCCCTTAACGAGGCTGACATTGGGATTATATGCAATCTGTCTGGCAGTTATAATTTTGTTGGGAATGTGATATATGCTGAGACTGACTTGTCAACAGGAATTTGATAGCACAGCTTCAATTTTTCAACCACTCTGAATTATCATATTAAACCACTTTTACAAAGCTACAGGCGTATAGCTGTACAGACACTGTATAAGCTTCAACCTGCTGCAGTACGCTAGCTAAATACCTCAATGAACAATCAGGACGTTCCTGACTTGAATCCACCAATAATTTCCTCAGACTGAAGGGATTTCCGTCCACAGAAGACAACTTTCTTGCCTCCCTATTTCTACTGTAGCCTGAAATGCTGCTTCTAGAGGACAGAGGACCCCCAGGAACAATGTGGGGAGGGGGGTTCCTCCATGGGATTCAACCCTCTGATTTAATCTCAGCTCTGCAGGACCTGCTTTACAGCTTAACTGCAAGATTCAGCAAGATACTGCATGTAAAGCACTTGAGCCCGCTATGACATAACAAGCATCATCATTAAGGAAAACAACCACCTGGTTACCAGAGGCATCCCCCAAGATTCAAAAGATTCAAAGGTTAAACCATTTTTCTGCCCAAGGGTTGAGCTCTGTGAGTCACAGCTGAGCAAGGGGTCATGTATGGGGCTCCGTTCCCTTCCGCTCTCCGGTAAGAATGGTGACGGCCTCTCTGACGGTCAGCAGGGCAGCTTTGGGGCAGCAGGGCACCGCTGAGCTCCTGACAGCGTGGCAGGCCAGAGACCACAGAGGAGGGCTTTGCAGGAGTTACGGCAGGAGAGGAGGGCTTTGCAAGGCCTCTTGCAATGTGGGAAGGCCCCCGCTGAGGATGCTACGGACCCCCCCATTGGTTTTGGTCTTCGTACCATCGCCACCTTTTATGGCTGGACCCCTTTCTCCAACGTTATGGAGGCCTCGTCTCTTAGTTCACTGGTCCCTCCTGCTGTGCTTTTCCATCTCTCTCATAAGATGGACTTTAGCTTCCTAAGATGACTCCTTTAACACTCTAACGGCTGGCGCTTGGTACAGTCACCACAAGACAAGGGGCAAAATAAGACTGCAACTGTGTAAAAAGGTGATCCTCTCTTTTCAACCACTTGATTCAAAATGGACTCAGATAACATGGGCTGTTTTCAAATAAGTCAGCCACATACCCGTGGAGTATTGTTTCCAAGTCCGTTCTAAAGTTGGAGACTTACTGACAATAGGTAAAGGTAAAGGTTCCCTTGCTCAAAAGCCAGTCAAGTCCGACTCTAGGGTTGCGGTGCTCATCTCCGTTTCAAAGCCGAAGAGCCAGCGCTGTCCGAAGAAGTTTCCGTGGTCATGTGGCCGGCATGACTAAACACCAAGGCGCACGGAACACTGTTACCTTCCCACCGAAGTGGTACCTATTTATCTACTTGCAATTTCTTGCTTTCGAACTGCTAGGTTGGCAGGAGCTGGAACTAGAGACGAGAGCTCACTCCGTCATGCGGCACACTCGAGTCTCGAACTGCTGAACTACTGACTTTCCACAGCCTGCAGTTCAGCATCTTAACCACTTGAGCCACCGCAGCTCCTACTGACAATAACGAACCCCTTAAAACACCTGGGTCCTTTCCTTTCCTCCTAAGCTTACCTAGTGATGAGAGCCAAGACTCCCGGTAACTGGAACACTCAATGCAGCAGCATCCCAGGAGCCAGGGAACTGGAATGCGCAGGGATTAAAAAAAAAAGTTATACTGCATAGTACTTGGATAGCTTGGAGAACGGTATGCCCCATGATCCGTGAAACACTGTCATTTCAGCATTTTAAGTACCAGAGAGTAATGTAGGCCTCTTTGTTCCTGCAGCCAGGTAAGCTAGCAGAAAGGCAAGGGGGTGGTGGCAAGAAGGGATGATTCCAGGAGGAGATCCTTACAAGCCGTTTGTTAATTCAGGTGGAATACTGATTCTGCTCACTGTGGATGTAACCTCTCTTTAAAAAAAAAAAAAGAATTATCCAGTCTTAAGCTTACCATTATATGCACCCCAATTTTGAACTTCGCCATCATCAATAATCAGAATTGGAAAGGCAGAACCCATAAACAGGCAATTTGTGACAACACCAGGTATAAGACAGACTGTCAATCATTTGACTTTACCAACTCAGCAATCTCAGATAATTTCTACTGTGTGTCAGTAGTTTCACTTCACAGAACCATTAGGTTACTTAGCCAGGGGCATTCGTCACCATCAGACCTTAGGAAATAAAGAGAACTTAAGTCATTTTGAATGGAATAGCTGTGCAACCAGTTACTGCAACTTACGATCATCTGCATCTGATTTTTCTTCATTTGTTGAAAGCTGAGAATCATATTTAGACAGCTGCTTCTTGATTTCTGCTTCATCTTCATCATTCTTTTTCTAACTCCAAGAACACATAATAAAGTTATTAACATTTTTAGGTACACATCTTGAATGCAACATACATATGACTGCTATACATCTGACAGCAATGTAGAAGGAACAGACCCCCCCCCCCAAATCTTAAGTATGGAAGGAAAATCTCTCATGCCAACTTCATGGAAGTAGTGTCAAGAAACAACATATTTGGGTTTCCAGTTTTGGCGTTCGCCATGGCTGCTGTTTCTCTCTGGACCTCCGGGAGACAGTAGCCAGAGCCCGCGGATGGGAGGGGGCGCAATCGTCCATGCCACCCCTGGAATCCTTGCGATGGGTTCCTAGCCATGGGGCGCTAGAGTGAGCTCTTCCACCAGCAACCCGGCCAGAGAAGGGGGGCTCCTCCATGCCCCAAAGGTCCCGATGTGGAGCATCCCGTATGGGAAAAGGAATCGCACACCAGAAGAAGCGCTTGGTGGCCGAGCGAAACTAAATGAAAAGCGGGTTCAATGTCGAACTGTGAGTTTGAGTTAAAGCAAGAACCACCGAAAACTTAAGCCGGAAACTCCCCTTTAAAAGCGAGGGGTGGGGGACTCTCCCCCGATAAGAAAGGCTAAGCGATTTTAAGCTACAACAATAAGGGGAGTGAACGATTGAAGCAAGATAGACTGAATTAATAAGCATTTAAGAACTTACCAAGCATATTAAGGAGTATCAGAGACTGTGATAACTTTTATAAAAAGTAAACAATCTCTAAAAATGGCGCCCACGAGGAAGGATGAGAAGGGAAAACAAGTGAAACCAAAACTTCCTGTCGGACCTGCTGGACTAGCGAGTCCTGCCTCTAGACAGGACACAACTGCAGAGCTACAAAAGATGCTAACAGAAGCACTGCGACCCCTGCTGGAGCAAATAACAGCATTGCATGCCAAATTTGATGCACAGCAACTGCAACTGGCTGAAATAGCCAAAAAAAACAGACAAAACTGAAAAAGAAGTAAAAGTGGATGCCAACACCCAAAAATTGGGGGGGAAACTGCAGGTGATGGAAAAAAAGAGTTTGATGGAAGAGTCTCAACTGTTACAGCTACTAATGGAGAGAGCAAGCTATGTCTTAAGGTTCCAAGGTGTTCCTGAAGATAAGACTGAGAATCTGAAACACACTGTGTGTGATGCATTAGGCCCTTTGGCAGATATAAAAGCGGACATACTACAAAACGAAATAGATATAATCTATAGATCTTATCCAGAATTTACAAGGAAAAATAATCTGCCAGGGAAAGTGATCGTAAGATTCTCAAGAAGACAAGTGAGAGACCAAATTCTCAAAGCGACAAGTGTATCTACCTTGAAAATTAAAGACAAAGAAATGAAAGTGTTAAAGGGCATACCATTTGAAATAAGGAGGAGGAGGAAATACAGAGACCTAGTACTATTTTTACAAAAGAAAAGCATTCCCTACAGATGGCTGACACCCGAAGGCACAATCTTCAGATTTATGGACAAGAAAGAAAAAATTGACTCTGTTGAAAAGGCACAAGAATGTTTGCACCTACACAGTCACCCACCAGGGGAGAAAGAACCTGAGAAAGAAGATAGCACCAATGAAAGCGAAGAAGAAGGTGCAGCGACAGAATCAGACTAAGATCCAGACTCTAAATTAGGGGCAGTTGCCCCGAAGACAAGCTACCATTTGAGAAAACATAAGGACAAGAAAAAATGAGATGTTATTACACTTTGAAAACTCTATATAACTCAGTCATTAAATTAGTTTTTAATACAGCAACATTTTAACATGCCTCTCAGTCCCATAGGACTCTGCAGTTGGACACAAGATGGCAGGCTACAGTATTTACAGCAGCCATTTTACACTTTCCTATCTGTTATTATCCCGAGTGTCAAACCCAATTTGAGTTTCCTTTTTTCCACCCCCTATCAAGGCTACAATCCTGTGCACATTTATCTGAGAGTAATGCCTACTGACTACAGCAGACCTTACTTTTGTGTTAAATGCTGCATGAAGAGATGGAAAAGATTAAACATAGGCTTTCGAAACTGGTACTCATAAAACATGAATTTACAACAAAAAATGACTTAACACGAATACTTACTTACATTTGTTTCAATCGAAGTGCACGAACAAAAGCTTAAAACTTCCAGACTGAAATCAGTGGCACTTAAACCACCTTTGCCATCAGGCTAAAGCTACCTTTGCTAAGGGAAGAGCTGTGTGCTCAAGCGGGACTGTCTCCATGCGTGCTCCACCCGAACAAAAGAAACCAGGCAAACCCACAGGCGGGAGAGTTGTGCTTAGCGAGCTGGTGTATAAAAAGCTGTACAACATTTCAGCCTCATGAGAGCCGCCCACCAGTACTCAGAAACGGGACAGCTTGTTTCTATTTACAATACCCTTGCCCTACCTTTTTCTTCTTGTCCTTGAACTGCTTGATTAAAGTGATCAAATGCTCCACCAGAAACATAAAATAGAGTCCTCCAAGCGCCGTGAGGCCCTTCCAGGTGGAATCCAAATAAGCACTCTCTTCTACACTTTGGAAGACGACATGCCTCAATGGAGGGTCTTTACTGTGCTCCATTAATGGTTTCTCATGATGATGATGATTTCCATGAGACTAAAGATTGAAAAAAAGGAGAACAAGGTTAAGTGCAGACAGCCTCCCATGTAAAAAAGGAGATGTGATTGACAGGGGAAGCATGTCAAGGTCAATTTCCTTCACGTTGGTGCCCCACTGCTGAATGAGTGGCTGCTAACACTAGTCAGTGTTCCCTCTAAGCTGTGGAGTCCTTGTGAGCAAAAATTCTACTTTGTGAGCTCCTGGCACTAAAGTTATGAGTGAGCGATTTGGCTACTGCATCAATTAGTTTGCTCCGGAGCCCTCCTTCCTGAGCTAAGACAAAAATGGGTGAGCCGGAAGCTAAAAAACTGTGAGCTGGCTCACACTCACTCAGCTTAGAGGGCACAGTGCGTCACCACCATGGTGAGCTGCACAGCGTCATCACAGAATGCTGTGTGGTCCAGGGGTGGGCAGAATAGCGAAGATGGATTGGGAGAGTCTTCACGGCTGTACCATCCTCAGGCCATTTGGGCCATCACGAAGTCAGCTGTGTCAGTCAAGCCTTAAAATATGAATGGATGTTTTCTTGTATCCCTCATTTCCACACTTTCAAGACGCATTTGCCACCAGTTTGCTCCAAGAGTAGCTTCAGTATGCTTCACTGAGGCCTGCTGCTACCAGCAGGACTGTGTCCGGATCCCCACACGTTCAATCGAATACACGTTTGTAGCAAAGTAATATTTATTGAAGTAATGAAGAAGCTGGAACACAGGGACTGTTTGGAATGACTCAGAAAGTCAGGGCACGGGATAATAAACAGATTCATACAAGCACTAACCGATAACATTGGCTCCTGCTTTCACGGGTACGTTGAAACTCGCGCCTAAAGCCTGAGAATCAACTGCTCCTGAAACTTAAACAATTAATTGCTTCTCATTCTCTAATCAAGCGGCTCCGGCTCCACACCTGTGGCCTTGTAGATAACTCCGTTTCAAGCAACACTAGCGTTCATAGAAAGGAATGCATATAACAAGCTGCTGCCTCCATATCACTATTAAGCATGCGCACATGGGCCTAAACGAACCAGGGAATAAACGGGAGGGATTAATGGCATAGACATGGCATACAGAAATACATAAAACTAATTGGCAGCTTGCTGACAGACTGCCACTATGGTCTCTTTCCTTATTTAAAGTCTTCCCCCAATCGAAAACGGCCTTGTGCTCCAAAGTGACACGTATTAAGTAATTCAAGATGAAAAGAAAAAAGTACTTACATGTGGAAGGAGATGCAAAAGAGCATCTCCGCTTAGGGTACCAACTGCTAATGCCACAAGGAAACTTAGAAGGAATTTGAAAAATACACGATTCATAAGTGGCACCAATACGACCCCCAGTAATGAAAGAAAGCTGATGATAGAGATGGATATAAATCCTCCAATCCAAGCTGAAAAGGAAAGTAAAAAATCTTTAAGTGCTTCAGCCAAGCATTCCTTTCCCGAACATCCATGCATAATCTGGCACAAGCACATCTTTTTAAAGTCTGCAAGCATTCTGTCACAGGAAGAGTTCTATAAAATTCATGTGACTGTACGTTACCAGTTAGTTTAAGTGAGAATCTCACTTCCTAGTGTTCCTTGCCCTTTGACGCTAAAACAAAGATGCTGATTTTAAATTCTTCCTCAACATTTTTGCTCTTAGTGAAGCACAAAACAACGTAATCATATTTAAGCAAGAAAACTGAACTTCAACAAACCTACCGACTTGCAATGAATATGTTTTCGGAGGAGACTCTGCCTTTTCACTGGTTGCATGGATTATACAGTATCTGCCATCGATCTGGTTCACAATAGCTGGACAAAGATAACTAAATTCTGTAGCTGTCAACATAGCTTGTGTGTTTATTCCATGGGAAAGCATCAGTTTTGATGCATTGAAGCACTGTAGAAGAAAATATTCGGGAGACTTAAGCACATACATAAACATGACTTCATAGCAGTGCTACAGTCAATGAAATGGGGAGCTTCAAATGTTGTATTTTTTAAAAAGCACATAAAAAGCAGGCAAACAAGTTAAGACAGAACTTACAGCTACACTGTTCATTAACTGTATTCATTATGCAGTCTCAAGCAAAATGCACTGCTGTTTAAACACGCATTTCTAGCACGGAGTAGGTACATACACAGAGGAGAATTCAAAGAACCATGCAATTAACTCCATGAGTCAGAAGGGCCTTGGACTCGATAGCCATTGTTCTTTGATATTTCCAGAACTAGCAAGCAGATGTTCAGAGGAGTATCCAAAGAGGGGGTTATTACTACTGCGTCCCCCTCTCCCACTTGCAGACTCCCACTTTGCAGCCAATGATGGGCTCCCTGCCCTGACCACTCAGGAGCAGCATTTCAGGGACCTCAGTGTGCTCCAATGGGAAAGAGAGGCAAGAAAGTGGTAGGATCAGGCCATCGTTCCCCATCAGCAGCCCACTGTGGTGCACGACAGGCTAAAATAGAGGGACGTTTATATATCCTGCTCTTCTCCCCAACTGGGATTCCAAACAACTGACACATCCGTCTCCACTCCTTGTGTGGGAGGTTGGTCTGAGAGAAGATGACTGGCCCAACATCACCCAGGGGGTTTCCAGGGCTCAGCAGGTATTCAGTTCTGGGTCTTCCAGGTCCTAGATCAACACTCTAACCACCACACTGACTCTCACCGGCTTCTCATGCAGCATGAGAAAACGAGACAAAAATCCCACCGGGTGAGCACAAGAAAAGAGGGGGTTATTACTACGGAGTCCCCCTCTCCCACTTGCAGACTCCCACTTTGCAGCCAAGGATGGGCTCCCTGCCCTGACCACTCAGGAACAACATTTCAGGGACCTCAGTGTGCGCCAATGGGAAAGAGAGGCAAGAAAGTGATAGGATCAGGTCATCGTTCCCCATCAGCAGCCCACTGTAGTGGTGTACGACAGGCTAAAATAGAGGGACGTTTATATATATCCTGCTCTTCTCCCCAACTGGGATTCCAAACAACTGACACATCCGTCTCCACTCCTTGTGAGGGAGGCTGGCCTGAGAGAAGATGACTGGCCCAACATCACCCAGGGGGTTTCCAGGGCTCAGCAGATATTCAGTTCTGGGTCTTCCAGGTCCTAGTTCAACACTCTAACCACCACACTGGCTCTCACTGGCTTCTCATGCAGCATGAGAAAACGAGACAAAAATCCCACCGGGTGAGCACAAGAACCTTGGCATTCGACTAAGCAGTCACAGGTTTGAAATTCAGATGCTGAATAGAGTAGAGAAGAAGAAGAAGAGATTGGATTTATACCCCGTCCTTCACTACCCAAAGGTGTCTCAGAGCGGCTTACAAACTCCTTTCCTTTCCCCTCCCCACAACAGACACCCTGTGAGGTGGGTGGGGCTGAGAGAGCTCTGACACAAACTGCTCTTTTTTTCAAGAACAGCTGTGCCAGAGTTATGGCTCGCCCAAGGTCATCCAGCCAGGTGCAAGTGGAGGAGGAGTGGGGAATCAAACCCGGTTCTCCCAGATTAGAGTCCGCGCACTTAACCACGACACCAAACTACACCAAACACCACGACACCAAACTAGGGAAGAAAGGGGAAAGTGAGGCAGAAATGGGTGGCCAGTTCCAGACTGCCCGAACGTTGCAATGGATGCACTGGGCTCTCTGGTTAAATCCCAAACAAGAAATAATCCAGAGCAGGAGGAAGTTTACTCGCCTAGGAAACCTATTTTCCCAGGGGGGGGGGCAGTAATGTTTTTAATGTCCAGAAATGACAATCACAGGGAGTTTTTATAGGACACAACGTGTCAACTCAACAGAGTGAATAGCCTTATCACTTGCAGTGAGCAAGAATCACTTCAAAATCTTTTGTCAACTGCAAAAGAGCACATTTTTTCCCTTCCCTTTTAGGTCTCCACTGTGCCAAAAGACACCAACATACATACTGTCACTAGCTTGGTTACTAAGTTTTAACAGAGCCAAATATGGCTGCTTTCCCACTGGGCATTACTAAATAGTGTGAGTACCCTGAAAGCTCCAGATATGCTCCAGCACCAGTAAAGCCAGTAATACAAAATGCCTCCCTTACAAATGGTCTATGACTTCCACAGAAAAATCCTCAGTCTCATAGTCTTCCTTAGAATGTTAAAGATAGACAGAGTAATGCAGAGTTCTATAAACATTTCTGTTGGTCTCCTTGCTCCATCAAGGGGACTCTATGGAGTGCTTGGTTCAGACTGCTCCTATCCTCTTTCAAATAATGAGGCCAAGTTTACAGGCAAAAGAAACTCACAGACCAACAGGAACCAAAAGCTGTCAACCGAGAAGTACTTAATTCGATGTACTTAAGCTCACTTTTCATGGAAGTCTGTTTTGTTTTCATTCCACAAGCTTGATTCCAGAATTTGCCAGCGGCTTCTGACAAAAATAGCCCTCCCTACCAATGTTCCCTCTAAGCTGTGGAGTCTTGTGAGCAAAAATTCTGCTATGTGAGTTACTGGCTTTAAAGTTGTGAGCCAGTGATTTGGCTATTGCATAAATCAGTTTGCTCTGGAGCCCTCCTTCCTGAGCTAAGACAAAAGTCTGTGAGCTGGAGGCTACAAGATTGTGAGCTAGCTCACACTAACTCAGCTTAGAGGGAACACTGCTCCCTACCTGTCCTCCGTAGGACGCCTCTCATCCCAAACCCAGAGCTCATTAAGTTCCTGCTGCTTTCAGCTCTTACCTACACAGGCTGCAAATATCAAAGAGGTTTGCCTTTTCTTGAGGGAAAGTGTAAGCTGATTTAATTGAAATTTTAGTGTTCTCTGCCCTCCAGTAAGAGAAACGTTTTTGTCAGTAACTCAAACTATAACCACAGGGACTTACAAGTAAATGTATTTACAGACGCCTGATAAATAGCGTTTCACAAAGTGGTATACTGCCTTGCTGTAAGTTAAAGTGGGTCTTTCATTAAGGAAGCTATTCATCTGAAGCTGTTTTTGTTTCTCTGTTCTTTAATTTTATGGTCTCAGAACCTTTCAGTATGGTTTAGCTGGAAAAATGCAAACCTCCAGGCCACACACCAATGATCAGCAGCACTTTACAGAACACTTCACGGATAAGTCTTCATTAAAAGAACAAACAAAAGTAATTCCTTCACCTCTCTGAACACCCTAATGGCAAGTATCAAAGGATGAACAGAATGCAATCAGGGATAACAAATCCACATTTCATAACTTTGAATATGAGTACTCAAATTATGAAACAGCAAGAACTTTACCTAATATTATCTAGTATTTCTGGTGTTGGAAAGGCGCTGCATAAAATCCCTGAAATGCAAATCTATGGATTAATTTTAGAAACAGGATGGATTGATGTTAAATCAGTGTAATTTAAATCATTAAAAAAGAAGAGAAGGATGTAAATACTTGTTGGGATCAAGTTTTCATTTTTCTAATTCAAGTATTTTCTGAACAAAAATGTAAACTAATTAGCTTAGTCTCCATTGCAATACATTATTTACTGTAAGTTAAAACGTTATACTAACTGGAACAGTGATTCAGACCTTTTATTCATGGTGTCCATGGCCCTCATGAAGACTGAATTGTTCCTTCAAGAAACAACATAGGGAGCCTTTTAAGTTGCACATATTTTGTATAGTTAAAGCAAGGCCATATAGCCTAGTGAACATTTTTGTGGACTAGCAATTTTTGTGAATCTGCAAGGTTGACTATTCTGTATATGATAGGGGGTCCCTCAATTCTGAAATTAACTGTGTCTGGCCCCGTTCATACGAGGCAGTTTGGGCCGGGAGCGGGCCGGATCGGAGGCGCATCAGACGGGCGCGATCCCACGGCAACATCTGCCTGGCGTCGCACTCCCGCCTCCAACCTGGCCCTTCCCCCGATGAAGCGCGTCAAAGATGAACCAGCTACTTCGGTGGTTCATCCGGTTGAGGCGCTTCATCCTGACCATGGGATCGGCGGCGCGTCTTGCCGCCGTCGCATCCCCGCCCCCCTGCCGTACTGTGCATGCTCGAGCATGCGCAGTACGGCAGCCTCCCCCTCCGACTAGTGTCTTTCTCCCCCGCCTCTGATCGTGCCGGGGAGCAACGGAGCGCAGCAACCGGGATCCATGGGATCCCGCCGGGGCGTTTCTTTTTTGGTGCGGCTTTTAATAGCCGTGCTTCGCCCCGTCTTTTCCCTGCCGTGTGGCAGGGGCCTCTGTTTTTGCTACACAGGGAAAGATATTCAGAAAAATCATTACTCTGAAGACTACCTGCCCTAATTTCCCAGAGACAAAGGCGTTCTTTAACGAGAGAAAAAAGTGTTTTGAGCAATATATTCAAAATTTAGAAACTAACCACCCTTTAGAACTCAGAAGGCATAAAACAGGAGTCCAAGATCACCAAGAAAACACCAAAGATGATCATACTGGGATATATAATAATGTCCCTGGACTAGATTTCCATTTCCTGGGTTGAATTTTCAGTAACGCAATACACGACCTATTGTGCCATATTTTAGCTCAAAGGACACAAAGAGATCAAATAATTGAGTACAAATGCAGGCAAAGAAAGTAAGACAAAAGAGTGTGAAAGGGATTGCCACTAAGGACCAATTCAGACATCAAGGTTGACATCTATCAGATACCATACAGGAGAAAAAGATAGTGTGTGGACTGCTGACACCCTCAAATGACCCATGCACAGACTGGAGAAACTCAGAATGATAACAGGTCTTAAATGACATAAATATATTTAATTCCAACAAAGCACATCCAGGAACAGCTCATGTATCTGAAAAACCATAACATCTGAATTGATCCTTATATAGTTTTGCTGTGGAAACACACTGCATAAAATATTAAGCAACTATCAATGAAGTCTGCATCAAGCATTACGGCTTCCTTTAAAAGTACTATTTCAGAGTACAGCAAATGGAGTCTCACCTCTTGTGTGCTTGGTTTTCTTATTTTAGAATACATGTAACTTCCCCTTTCAGATTCCCTCACAGAAAAGGATTCATTTGCTTTTCCATTTACAAGCAGACTCATATTGCTGGTTTCCAGGACAAGGCTGGGACTGGGGCTGTGGAGTCCTCCTGTGTGCGAAGTCTTCAGTTCTACAGGTTCAGAATGCTGGAGAAGAGGGTTGCCCTCTGTGGCTGTGGTGTAAGCAGATGCTATTACGGTTACTGTTGTGCTCTTGCTATTCATAGAGCCCTGGTGGTGCTTAGTGGTCTCTACTCCAGGCAAAACTTTTGTCTGGCTATTCCGGAGATCTTTGCCCACACCACTAGATTCATCGCTGGGGCAACCTGTTTTCTCCAAGTTTGTATCCGGTGCAACGTGCTTATGATGATGCTGGTGGTGTTCGTGGTCTATGGTAACTCTTTTAATCTTTTCAATGCCCATGTTACGTAGCAATTTCCTAAACCCTTCAATGGTCAATGTACTGTTCTCCCCATAACGAGAGAAGAGTTCCTGCAGATGATGTCTCTGCATTAGCACGGCCAAATCAACATTGATACCAGCTGCCTTCTCAGGGAGGAGGTTCTCTGGAGTTTGCACGGTGGTGGATTGTTCCAAGCCATTGTGGCGAGCTTCACAAAACAATATGGAAAGCGAGAAGAGAAAAGTCGCATACACTTTATTCTCCATGCCAGAACCCTATAATTAGAGAAAGACATAACAAAGGAGTTTAAAAACTTGTCCGTGTGTACCCCACTCTGTATAAATCAAAGAGAGTATTTTACAGAAACTGCTGCAAATTTAAAGTGTTAAATGACTTCTAAGTCTGCAGAGAACTCCAATGGCAGATTGCTTAAGCCATCACATTTTGGTAAAACTGTATGCAGTATCGATGTTCCATGACCAGAATTCTGCAACGCTTCTCTGCCTGGAAGGGGCAGTATGCAGTGGGGCCATGACACCAGGGAAGGTAGGATTTAACCTTTCTCCACTATGTGATTTCCATAACTGAAAATGCCTCCTCCCCAGCACTGCTTTTAGCTCCGGTGGTGAGACAGGAATACAGGTACCTGTCTTTTCTTGGAGGAGCATTTTTAATCGGAGAGTGCACCCCCCCATCCTAGCCAGATTCATTTCAAAAAAAAAACCCAGTTGCTTTTTAGGGCCAAAATACATCTAGCAAGCTTCCTTTCACAGAATTTCAAAGACACATGTCATATGACCCAGTGCAGCCAAATTTCACATTAATAACAAATAATCCTTCAAGAGTTAAAGGAAAACACAGGAAAGTGGGCTACAATAAAAATTATTCTAAATTTTTTGCTCTAAAAATAATTTTTAATGTTTATCCATTCAAACAGAAGCTTTAACCTCAGGAAAAAAATCAGTAAAGGCACACTTTAAACTGGAGGGAAGGGTCATGTGAAAGAAAGCACGGGGGGGGGGTATACCCGCAAAAGGAATAATGCCATTATTGTAAATTGTGCCTAGAAACATATTACGGGTTACTGCAGACCACAAAGAACTTCAGAAGTCTGAGGGCAGCTGAAGAGAAACTAGGTGGGCAGAGCAGAATACAAACATTTTCCCTCCAGTGACTGCAGACACCTCTGATTGCAAACAACAGGAGGAAAATATTCATGCTACCAGCAGGGTTCCCTCTAAGCTGAGTTAGCGTGAGCTGGCTCACAGTTTTTTATCCTCCGGCTCACACACTTTTGCCTCAGCTCCAGAGCAAACCGATTGATGCAGCAGTCAAATCGCTCGCTCACAACTTGAATGCCAGGAGCTCACACAGCAGAATTTTTGCTCACACCACAGCTTAGAGGGCGCATTGGTTACCAGTAGATCTCATACTATACCTAATGTAGATATGGATAGTAGGAAGAAATCTAAAATTACAATGAGTTGCCACAGAGCAGTTTTTCTGAACAAGAACATTTTACCTGTGGACAAATGTGTCTTTCTCAACAATAAATGCTTTGTCCTTGACCTCTCCCTCCTACCGAAAAACCTGTGCATATCTCTTTAAAAAGATCAAAGGGTAATAACCGTGTTCAAAGAAAAAACAAAGCAAAGGACACAGAGAGATTTTGGATGGCTGGATTATTATGAGAGCACATATTCCACAGGTGATCGATCCGTTTTGCTTTCATAGAGAAGAGTTCTGTGATGATGCATTTGCAAAAAGTTTCGCTTTTATACAGCAGAGACTGTAGTGGTGGAAAGCTGACTTATGGCAACCTGGCTGGGGTTTTCAAGGCAAGAGATGTCCAGAGGTGGTTTCTCACGGCCTGCCTGCGCCTCACGCCCCTGGGATCAAAGGGTAATAACTGTGTTCAATGAAAAAACAAAGCAAAGGACACACAGGGATTTTGGATGGCTGCATTATTATAAGAGCACATATTCCACAGGTGATCGATCTGTTTTGCTGTCATAGAGAAGAGTTCTGTGATGATGCATTTTCAAAAAATTTCGCTTTTATACAGCAGAGACTGTCGTGGCGGAAAGCTGACTTATGGCAACCTGGCTGGGGTTTTCAAGGCAAGAGATGTCCAGAGGTGGTTTCTCACGGCCTGCCTGCGCCTCACGCCCCTGGCCTCCCTGGGAGGTCTCTCATCCAAACAACAGCCAGAGCCAAATCCTGCTTAACTTCTGAGATCAGGCTAGCGTGGGCTATCCAGGTCAGGACAACAGCTGAGAATACCTATTCATGGTCTCCCCGTCTTCTTTGACCTTCAATCTTTCCCAGATTCCCAGGGTTTCCATAGTAACCCAAATATGGGGTTTTTGTTGTTGTTGTTCAGTCGCACAGTCGAGTCCGACTCTTCGTGACCCCATGAACCAGCTCCCGCCAGGCCCTCCTGTCTTCCGCTGTCCTCTGATGTTTGCTCAACTTCATGTTCGTTGCATCTATGACACTGTCTAACCATCTCATCCTTTGCCGTCCCCATCTTCTTTGACCTTCAATCTTTCCCAGATTCCCAGGGTTTCCATAGTAACCCAAATATGGGGTTTTTTATTGTTCAGTCGCACAGTTGAGTCCGACTCTTTGCGACCCCACGGACGAGATCACGCCAGGCCCTCTTGTCTTCTGCTGTCCTCTGAAGTTGACTCAATTTTATGTTCGTTGCATCGATGACACTGTCTAGCCATCTCATCCTTTGCCGTCCCTGTCTTCTTTGACCTTCAATCTTTCCCAGATTCCCAGGGTTTCCATAGTAACCCAAATATGGGGTTTTTTATTGTTCAGTCGCACAGTTGAGTCCGACTCTTTGCGACCCCACGGACGAGATCACGCCAGGCCCTTAGGGGGTTTTTTATTGTTCAGTCGCACAGTCGAGTCCGACTCTTCGCGACCCCATGGACCAGATCTCGCCAGGCCTTCCAGTCTTCCGCCGTCCTCTGAAGTTGGCTCAACTTCATGTTCGTTGCATCGATGACACTGTCTAACCATCTCATCCTTTGCCGTCGCCGTCTTCTTT